AGGTGCAGGGTCCCCCAGGAGCCCAGCCTCCGCGGCCTGAAAGGAGCCTCTGTTCCTTAAAGGGACCCATGTGCCCCCTGATGTGAAATCGTAAAATACCATTTTAGCTAAGCTTTTTTGTTTTTTGCATTTTTAAAAAATACATTTGTATTGATTTCAGAGAGGAAAGGAGAGGGAGAGAGAGAGAGAGACATCCATGATGAGAAAATCATGGATCGGCTGCCTCCTGCACGCCCCACTGGGATGGAGCCCACAACCCGGGCCTGTGCCCCTGACCGGAATCGAACCGTCAGCAGGCCAATGCTCTATCCACTGAGCCAAACCAGCTAGGGCAAGTGACTCACATAATGAATAGCACATGATGGAACTGATGGTGTGCAACACTGAAGACTAAAAGGTATGTGGCTTTCTCCTTATATTGGTTGCCTTTCCTACAAGCCCGAACTGGGGGTCGAACCCGAAGCCTTTTGGTGTGTGGGACGACGCTCCCACCAGCGCAGCCCCCGGGCCAGCCAGCACCTAGGCCGGCAGAGCAGCACTTCTCCCGCGTGTTGGGCCCTTTTACGTATTTACGTTGTTCCAAGTCCTCCTTCTTCCTGTAACACTCGAGCGTGGTGTCTTTTAAAGGACATGGTGAACGTGATCTGATGATGCTCACACCCCTGAACCCATCGATTCGGCCTCAGCCCTTGCTCTGCTGCTGTGTGTGTCTCCGCCCCTGTGCCTGCCCACGCCTTAAAGGCCTGTCACAGAGAGACGGGTGCGTTCACTGACGTCACAGAAAGAAACGGTCAGCCCCGTGGACACACGGCGGGAGGACAGAGACGCAGGGCGCTGCCTCCCATCAGCCTGGAAATGCACCAGAAACCTCAGCGAGAGGAGGAGACGGACGGAAGGACACAGGGACGCGGGACGCGGATTCCGGTGGACACGGACAGCGGCACCCGGGCCTGGTGTGCAGGTCTCTTTTACTTCTTTCAGCGCTGCCGTACGTTTGAACCCTCCCCCCTCACCCGTGCCCTGCTGGGGGCACAACGAGACCTCTTGGCTGCTGTGGTTTTCGGTTCTGGCACCAAGAGAGGCCGAGAGGCTGGGGCGGTGTCTGAGCGCGGGGACTGTGACTGCAGGGGCTCAGGGCAAGGAGGAAGGGCAAGGTCAGACCCGCACACGGAAGCCCCCCACGCAGGGAGTGTGTTCCACGTGGGACACGGACGCCGTGGCCTCGCTCACGTACCTTCGCACGTGGGGAGCGAACCCTGGAACTGCAGCTGGGCGCCGAGCTTGCAGGTGAGCGTGTCCGGGCCCGACAGCGTGTAGCCGGGGTGGCAGAGGTACCGCACGGAGTCCCCTGCAAGAGTCCACACGACACTCGGAAACTGGCCTCCGCGACACCCAGAGTGTGGGCACCTCACACACCGGCGAGACCTAACCAGCGACGTCAGCAGGCAAACCGTGTCCGTCCGACCAACGCCCATCCTCCTTTCTATCTGCTTCTACTTGTTAAATATATTTTTATGATTTCAGAGAGGAAGGGAGAGGGAGAGAGAGATAGGAGCATCATGATGAGAGAGGATGATGGATCGGCTGCCTCCTGCACGCCCCCAACTGGGGAAGAAGCCAGCAACCCATGCATGTGCCCTGACTGGGAATGGAGCCCGGGACCCTTCAGTCCGCAGACCGATGCTCTATCCCAAACCAGCCAGGCCCAGCCTCGTTGTAGACAAAACACCCCCCTTTCAGTGCCTCGTTCACAGAAACGCGGCCTGACACTCAAGCAGCGTCAGGACGGATGTGATGGGCGGCGTCCACTCCCGACCACTGTCCTGGTCCTCCCCCTCCCCGAGGGCCATGGGGCAAGGCACCAGAACTGGACACTGGGATTCTCGGCTTCCAGAGAGGACCTGGCCTGATGGGCACACGGCGCCCTTGACTCTGTCATCTGAGTAGGAGAATGGAGGCCCCGGGTTGGACTGGGTCTGAGACACGGCATCACCACAGACAGGACGGAGCGCCTGTCCTTGCCACCGAGAAGCCCTGGGCCCGGTGACTGCTCCACGGACAGGTCCCGGGCTGGACTCCTAACAGGCGGGTGCTGGTGGAATGAATGGACCTTTCACAGAAGTTACAGGGCGGGATGCCCCATCACTCACTACGCTCACCAGGCCCAGCGGGACGGGAGGCCCATTACACCGGCCATTGTTGTAGCCACAGGGGACGAGGTTCTAGGTTGGGATCCTGCCTCCCTAATGAAACCACGTATCTGTGTGTTTGCCTCGGAAAATGTTGCTCAACTCAAGAGGAAACCACGGCCCGGCTGGCTTGGCTCAGGGGCTGAGCATCGACCTATGAACCAGGAGGTCATGGTTGGATTTCTGGTCAGGGCTCATGCCTGGGTTGTGGGCTCCATCCACCGTGTGTGGTGTGTAAGAGGCAGCCGATCCATGATTCTCTCTCATCGCTGATGTTTCTCTCTCTCTCCCTCTCCCTTCCTCTCTGAAATCAATAAAAACATATTTTAAAAAGAGGGAAACATGGACAGTAAGTGCCTGAGGGGATGGGCTCCAAGTGACAGAAGTGAACGTCACGGGGCGGAACCCAGAGGTCACGGACATGGCGAGAGGGAAACGTGTGTGTCGGGCGTGTGACCTGGGCGTGTAGCTCTCCTGCAGGCAGTGGGATTTTCTGACACACACCCACTCTTGGGAGTGACTCCGCGGGGGTGGAGGGGAAGAGCCCGTGACTCCCATGGCCTCACGGGGACGCGCCCTCACCTATCTCAAAGTCCTCGTCCTCACGCAGCAGCTCCGCCTGTGGGATGGCCGGGGGCGGCGGGCACTTCTTGAGCTGAAATGCTACGGGGTGGACGAGAAAGAAAAGCTGCAGTTACATTTGCTGCATAAACACGATGATCCCCGTCACGCCCCTGTGCTGCTGGCACCTGGGCACACCGCCGTGTCCATGCCAGGAGGCCGTGGATTTATAAAGCTCTCAGCTCCACTGCTCACAGGACAAGTCAGTGCCCGGAGCATCTACTGCGGAAGAGAGAAGCTACGATTTAAACACAATGACCTCATCACACGTCCCGGACACACGTGGGATTCCTAAGGGAAATGGTCCACCGTGCCTGGTCCCACGTCCACGTTGAGGTCGGATAAAGTTGCTGCCCCCACGACTTCCCTGGTGGCCGTCCTCATCCTCACGGGAGGTGAGGGACCCCCATGCGTTTCCCGTCACTAGCGGGCACTCTCACGCCCTCAGGGCTGGCTCTCGCCCGTATGTAATCGCACAGAGTGATGAGGGCAGCCATTAGATCGCCACGCGTGTCCATGGCATGCACATCAGAGTTTCACATCCACACACCTCTCCTGGAATGAGTCTACGCTGGTCGCAAAGCGCAGCTCAGAAAGGCGGAAATAATAAAGACATTAAACAAAAGCGTGTCCCAGGCGCCCGGCGGGCGTGGCTCCGTGGTGAGGACTGACCTGTGAACCGGGAGGTCGCAGCTCGATTCCCGGTCAGGCCACGGCCGGGTCGCAGGTTTGCTCCCCGGG